ACAGGGGTTAGGGCAGAATGCTAGAATGTGGGTCACCCTCAGTATGTATGCAAACGGCATGGGTTAACTTTCTCTGTGTAATAGCCCTCCCTGGCTGGCCTGGACCTCACTTTGTAGACTATGCTGGCCTGGAACTCAAGAGATCTGCCTGCCTCTGTCTCTTGAGTGCCTGGATTAAAAGTGTGTGCCACCACCAGCCGGTGCTATTTAATTATTAGAGAGGGTCTGTGTAGTTCAGGCTAGCCTGGAACAGGTTATCTGACTGCCTCCTGGACACTGGAATTAAAGGTGTCCCACCACGTTTTTACTTTGGTAGTGAGTATCTTTACTCCCACCCCAGGCCATCCAGGGTAACAAATCCACAAGGGTGAAAACAGAAAGAAACCCAAACAACTCCAACCCTCAAGATACCCATCCCTGCCTGGTGGCCTATAATCCCAGAATTCAGGAGACAGAGGCAGGTGGATCTGAGTTCAAGGCCAGCCTGGTCTACAAAGTGAGTCCAGGGTTACTCAGAGAAACTTGTCTCCCCCCCCAAAAAAAATACAAACAAAAACAAAAACCAATACCAAAAAGATACCCATCTCCAATCTAAAAATCCATTCTAGGATATTAAATCCTTTACTGGGCTATGGAATAAGACCCGATTTAAAAAAAAAAAAAAAACAGTCATTTTAGTTTCTATGAATAGCTTTATTATTAATTTACCATTGATCGGCATAAAAACTCAACAGACCCCCCCCCACACACACAAGCAAGTTGAAAGACTTTTAATAAAAAGAGCCAACACTAGGGGGTCAGAAGTCCTGTGAATTGCCAGCTCTGCTTTGGTAGCCAGAAGAAATTGTGAGCCTCTCCAGGGCTTCCAATGCCTCAGGGAGCCCGGGGCTGTCACTTGGGGAGGAGTCCTCAGGGTTTGGCCCGGGTTTCCTCCTGGGTTGGTAGAAATGCACTGACCACGGTAGAAATGGGTTGAGCATGCGTTCTCGGTAGAAGACGAGGCTTATTCTATTACTTCCATACCTCCATGGCACATACTGAGGCTTGTACACAGGATCCCTCAGCTTTGCTCTGTTGGCCCTGGATGACTTCAGCTTCATCTTGTTCTTTCGAAAAAAGAACCAAGTCTGGAGAAGCAAAGAGAAAACATTAAGGGCAGCACCAGTTACCTGGGGGAGCTGGGGACTCTTGAGTTTTAAAGCCGAAGCTGGCCTCAAACTTGGAGATCCACCTGTCTCTGCCTCCTCAGTGCTGAGTTGGAGGGCACCCAGGATAATCTAGAACTTGCAAAACTATTTCCAACTCACAAGCTTCTGTTTTCTTTTTGTTGTTTTTTTATTTGTTTGGCCTTTCCCCCCAAGACAGGGTTTCTCTGTGTAGGCCTGGCTGTCCTAGAACTCCACCTGTAGACTAGGCTGGCCTTGAACTCAAAGAACAGGCTGCTTCTTCCTCTCGAATGCTCCGATTAAAGGAGTGTTTGTTTATGTAGGGAAGCAAGAATGACCTTGGACTCCACTGGAGTCCAGGGCAGACACAATGTGCATCAAGGAAGGGCATAAATGCCTTTTTTTTTTTTCAAACTATAAGCCTTGGCTGACCTGAAACTTGTTATGTGGATCTAATAAAGTGTTGGCTTAAGGTTTATCTTGATGTTGGGTGCATGTGAGCACAGGGATGAAAACAGCCAAGGAACCCTCCAGCCCCTCGAATGAGGGGGATGAGGAGGTGGAGGGTATGCGTCTGTCCTGTGGGGGAGAGGAAACTGACCTCAATTTCTTTTTTCTGCAGTTTGAGTCTGTCAGCCAGGTCTTGGAGAGTCTCCTCATCAGGGTTGCAGTCCACCTCAAAGTGTTTTTTCAGCGCCAGGTACTGCTTACAGGAGAAACGGGGGTGCTGATCCCAGCAGGCTGAGGAGGGAAAACCAGATCAGAGAAACCCTTCCTCCCTTTCCTAGGTGAGTGTGAGGACCGCACTCTCTAAAACAAACAACAAACAACTGAGGTGGCAGCAGCTAGCAATGTGAGGGAGGGTCTTGGAGTCTCTCCCTTCTAGGCCTCACTTCCTCCACACCTGAGGCTCCCAGTGGAACACGCCCAAGCTGGAAGGGCCCCCACCCTGAGTCTCCATTTTCCAGCCCCAGGCACCATACCTGTCTAGGCCTTTGCAGCCACCAGGCTAAAATGTATGGGGAGTTCGTTTTCTATGTAAAGCTATTTTAAAAACTACAAAAGTTGCCTGGGTGTGGTGACCAGAGCTTGTAATAATCTCAGTATTCAGGTGTTGGAAGGCCAGGAGTTAAGTGAGTTCAAGGTTCTGGCTTCCGGCATGTATGAGGCTACCCCAAAGAACACTCATCCCCTTCCCCTGCCCCAACACACACACACAACAAAACTCCTCAGAAAACAAATAGTAGGCAAAGGTAAGAAACTGACCCCACACGGGCACAAACCTGCCGCCTCAGGCCTGCTCCCCGACACCCGACTAGCGGGGACGCATTTCAGTCCTCACTCCAGTTCTACCAACCGGGTCCCATTTTGGGAGAGACCGAGCCACTTCTGAGGGCTCAGACCAGTCTCCGGGCCCTGAGTCCTGGGCTCACATCCCTGCCCACCGCTCAGCATCGGAACGTGTCTCCCAAACTCACACAAAATCTCCATTGCGGTGACCTCCATCTCGGCTGCAGCTCACTTGCTTCGTTAGGCAGTGTGAGGAGCTCCTCAGGGGCTTTGGCTCAAACCTCAGGGGCTTTGGCTCAAATCCCACCTCCACTCCACCCACTCAGTCGAGGCCCTCCTACCTGCGGCTCCTCCCACTCGCACGACTGTCTGCCACGCCCCTCTGCACCCTCCAGGGCGGCACCAGTCCTTACTGAGCAGCTACTAGTCAAAGGAGCTCAGAAAATAACCCAGCCTTGGCGCCAACCTTTCAAGCCTCGAGTGTCCTGAGGGAACCTTCCTCCCCCCCCCCCCCCGCCGGGATCTTCATCACCGGAAACAGGCCTCCAGCCAGTGGGTTCCTTTCCGGTGTTCACCTTCATTCCTTTCTAAAGCTCTACTCCACGACTGTTACTTTGTGTTCACAAGGTTCCGTTCCAGTGTCTGGACCAGAGCCGGCCGAAGCTGCCGTTTGGTAGTTACTCGGCAAGGTTTGTCCCTGGGCAAACCCTGGGATGATGGGAGTCCTGGGGACAGCTGCTGATGTTGAGGAAAACTACCTCCCTTTCCCTTATTTATTTAATCCCCACCCCTCCCTGAGACAGGGTTTCTCTGTGTAGCCTTGGCTGTCCTGGACTTTGTAGACCATGTTGGCCTTGAACTCACGCACCACTTCTAATCCTCTACTTTTGAGACAAGCCTTTGTTAAGAGGCCAGGCTGTCTGGGTGGGGCTGGTACACGCCTTAATCTCAGCGCTGGGGCAGGGAAGGAGGGACAGGTGGATCTGAGTTTGAGGGCCAGCCTAGTCTGCATAGAGAATTCCAGAACACTGAACAGTCAGTGTTACTTAGAAAGACTCTGTCTCAGAAAAAGCACTTGGAGACTGTAGTAAAGCTGAGTTATCTTGGGCGGTCTTTAAGCCATGTAGTAGCTATTCTTTGCTCGCCTGATGTTTTACTCTACAACCAGGGAAATCCTTTTCCAATGTATTCACAGAACATTAATTTCCACCAAACCCAAAGAATGCCATCTGCACGCGGGTGGAATATGCCTTCACTTCCATCATTCAGGAGGCAGGAGCAGGCAGATCTCTGCGTTCCAAGCCAGCCTGGTCTTCACAAACCCACTTTCTTATGGTCACACCAGTATAGCAGGTAAAAAATTCTAGATTCAACCTTCTGTCCTGTGGCTGAATAAGCTCCCAGGCTTTCCCAGTCTTCACAAATTGCATATGGGTATTTTGCCTGCATGTCTATGCACACATATGTGGTGCTCTTGGAAGCCAAAAAGAAGAGGGTGTTAGACTTTGGATCTGTAGTTCCAATTTCAAACCATGTGGGTACTGTGAACCAAGCCTGGGTCCTCTGGAAGTGGCCAGTGCCAGACCTGATAGTGTTCCATGCCTCAGCCCCAATGCTCAGAGGCAAAGGCAGGCAGATCTCTAGTTCCAGGCCAGCCAGAGCAATACAGTAGAACTTTCCCCTCAAAAGGAAAAAGAGGAACAAAACAAGTATAGCTACCAAGATGGGTGTGAGCCAGGCTTGGTGGCGAGAGCCTCAAGCCCAGCAGTCTGAGGCAGGCAGATCTACAGGCCAGCCAGGTCTATAGAGCCAGGGACAGCCGCAGCTAGGCAGAGAAACCCTATCTGGGGTGGGGGTGGGAGGGGACTGGAGGAAAGGTGTTTGTCACTAAGCCTGAAGGCCTAAGCTCCATCCTCACTACCTCTATGATGGAAGGATAATGGATTCCTAAGTTGTCCTGATTTCTCAGCCAGCACCTGCAGATTTTTTTTTTAAATAAATTTTATTTATCAAAAATTTCATGTCATCAGTCTACCACTCCCCAGACAAGTTCCTAGAAGCAATTTGGGAAGCACTAGTAAACCGACCCACTCAAAAAAATAAAATAAAATAAAACAAAACAGGAATACTCATAGAAACAAAATGAATAACACAGAAAGGTCAGAAAGATGGCAGTGTAAACCAATTAATCAGCACCAAGGTGGCTGAGCCAGGATGGGCTCTCCAGGTTCCTGGCTAGCCTGTGGTAGTGTAAACCAATTAATCAGCACCAAGGTGGCTGAGCCAGGATGGGCTCTCCAGGTTCCTGGCTAGCCTGTGGGGTGAGGCCCGGCAGGGTCTGTGGGAAGCCCAGGTTGCAGATTCAGCTTTGTCTTGTCTGCCAGGCCATTTCTGTCCAGTGCCCTCTGTCTTGGCACCCACGTGTTGAAGCATTGACCCTGAGTCTCTGGAAAGCATCCAGCATTTTGCGAGTTTGGTGCAGCCAGGAGTCAGAAGGGGGGAAATCATGCTACATGCTGGAGTGGCCGCATGGGACATTGAGAATCAGCAGTTGTGTTCACAGCCGGTGGAGGACTCCGAGGGATTGATGGGAACGAGCCTGTACCTCCAGCTTGGAGGCCGGCAGCAGTGGCCTTTGTGGGAAGCACAAGAAGAGGTGCCATCCCGGGCAGACTGCTGCAGCCGGGCAAAGGGGGGGCGCATCTCCTGCTCCAAGGAACGCTGGATGAACCACATCTGCAGGGAGGAAGCACACAGGGAAACATCAAAGGGAGGAGCCCTGTGTTCCCAAAAGCTGACCCCCAGCTGTGCTCCTGCCTTCCTTTCATCCAGGCCCCAAAGGGAGGAGGCCCCCTAAGGAATATGAGGGGCCTGAAAGGTCGGGCCCACCAACCAGGGAACCAGCCTGTTCAAGTGCCTAGGCCCCGGTGGTTCTCAACCTTCCTAATTATTATTATTTTTTAATTTTGCAGTTGCCACTTATTTATTTATTTCCCAGAGCTGAGGACCGAACCCAGGGCCTTGCCCTTGCTAGGCAAGTGCTCTACCACTGAGCTAAATCCACAACCCCCTTCCTAATTCCTGAACCTTCAATAAACCTTTAATACAGTTCCTCATGTTGTGGTGACCCCAACCATAAAATTATTTTGTTGTGTATTTCATAACTGTAATTTTGCTACTGTTATGAATCTTAATGTATCTGATATGCAGGAGATCTGCTAAGCAACCCCTGTGAATGGGTTGCTGGACCCCAAAGGGGTCAGGACCTGCTGGCCCTGAGGTATACAAGGTGGGGCAGGGGAATCTCACCTCAACTTGCTCCTCCTTCAAGTTGAGTCTGTTGGCCAGGACCTTTCGGGCCTTCAGGTCTGGGTACGGCTCTACCTTGAAGTGCTTTTCCAGCTCCCAGACCTGCCCCCAACTGTACTCTTGGTCAAGGGGGCCCGGGGTACAGGAGGCTAAGTAAGAAAAAGAGGGAGAAATCAGAGAAACCTAGCCCATCACTCTCTCGAGTGGCTGGTGTGATGGGACAGCCCTTGCTGCCAAGCCCGATGCTGACTGAGCTTTGATGCAGAGAGGCCTCACGGCAGGAGGTCACCCACTCAGGAGAGTTGTCCTCAGACTACAGTACACATCCCCCGTGCCCTCCCACTCACACATAAAATAAACAACTGTAAAAAAAAAAAATCCTTTCTTATAACCCCAAGCTCTGCCTTTCTTCTTGGGGAGCCACTGCATCAATGGGAGGCCTGTGGCCCCACCTTCCCCACTTTCCAGCTCCACCCAGTTAACCTCAAATCTGAATCTTTGTGGAGAGTCACACCCTTAATCCCAGCATTGAGAGCTGAAGCAGGAGGGTGGGGAGTTTGAAGCTTCCACCCAAGTGGTGGGATCAGACTCAAGGAATTGAGTCTGTCAGGGTGTGGTGGGTGCAAGCCTGGAATTCCAGCACTCAGGTGAAGAAAGGCATTGCCAGGAACCCATAACCCCATCAGGTGGGTCTCTGAATTGAGCCAGCCTGGTCTACAGAGAAACCCTGTCTGTAGAACAAATAAGCAAACAAACATTCAAGGTCATTTCCCACATGCCTGACAGGTTTATCAAGATAGGGCTGTCCTGGACTTGCTTCGGAGACCAGGCTGGCCTTGAACTCAGAGATCCACTTGCCTCTGCTTCCCGAAGTGCTAGGATCACAGGCATTCGCTACAGCTCCAGGCTGCTAACACCCTGTTTCTAAAGAACTTAACCATAAACACTCGCCTCCAAAGAAAACCAAACAAGAAACTTACAAAAGAAAAATCAAAATTAAACAAGTTGATGAGTTTGCAAAAAGTTCCCAGGTGAATACAATAGCCTGAACCCTAGCAGACACGGCGGTGTGGAGGAATCCCACCAAGAGCCTATCAGGCTGCAGTCCAGTGGGCTCTCCCTCCCCTAACCCTGAACCGTGGCTCCTTGTGCCATGTGCTCCGATGTCCGACCGCCGGACACCACGCAGACCCTTAACTCAACTGAGAAGCCTCGCTTTCTGCAAGGCCTGGTCTGCTCTGGGGGCCAGGCGAGATCTGCAAAACCCAAGCCTCAGGATAGCATGGTTACCCACCCGGCAGCATCCGAACAGGCTCCGGAGGCCCCAGACTTACACAGGGAACGCGGAGATGCTTCCATCTTGCCTGTAGCTCACCTCAGCTGTGGTTCCGTGGTTCCAAGGTATGTTCCGAGTACGTAGGATTAAATCCCACCTCCGTCCTGGGACCACCCATCTGGAACCCTCCCACTACACCTCCCTCTACCTCTCCAAATCACTCTGTTCCACTCACCTGTGCTCACCCCAAGCTTCTGCCCCTCTCTGTTGCGTTCCCACCCGGGTGTGTGTGTGTGTGTGTGTGACTTTGCTGGGTTCTAAATTCATGGTTGAGAAACGGTTGCTGCCTCTTGGCACTGAAAGGTGGGACACTAATTGAGCCTCGGTTTCGCCCTCCAGAGCCTCCAACTTAGAAGGGCCGGCTCCACCCAGTGTCTCCTGTGCAGTTAATGGCCTCCAGCCCGCCAGATCCACAGGTGTTCGTCCTCATTCCTTCGCGAAGCTAGATGCCCCTCCTTCGCGGCCAGGGACCAGCCTAGCGTTTCAGGCTGCCACCCTCCGTCTCCGTGTGTCTGGATTAAGCAGACCTTTTTGAGTGCCCCCTAAAGTGTCTGGTCCGGCGGGCTCTGGTGACCTGATGGTGACTTTGTTTCTGTTAGGGTTTGTTCCAAGACTGAGGGCTAGTGTGTTCAAGGGAGAGGGGCTGATGAGTTCTTGCATGGACAAACCAACTTCCTTCCTTCCTTCCTCCCTCCTTCCTTCCCTCCTTCTAGCCAACCAAACAAACATAATTCAGTCAGTCCCTCTTCTATGTGAATAGAAGTGGCTACTGGGGACTGCGGAGCCACACCTATGTTAAAGACGTATCTGATGAGGAATTGGAGATTGTGGGGAGTCGGAATACTGCAGGGAAAACCAGACATTCTTGGGCTGGTGTTAGTCTCCTAATCAATCACTGTACTTGACCTAACACCCTTCTACTAGCAAGCAAAGCCTTTCCCTTTCAGAAGGCCTTAACCGGCAGACCACTAGCTTCTACCAACCCCAAAGTGAAGGATGTCATGTACAGCAACTTCCTGACTCTGCTGTAACCTGCCCACTAATTTACTTGGTAACTATCCAGATTTTGACCTTTTCTCTGTCCTGTGACCACACAGGTTCCCCTATGCCACTTTCCCAGTATTAATATCACAACCTGAAGCTTTCCTTTTGGTCACTCACAAAGCTCCGATAAACTGGGCATAGTAGCACACACCTGGAATCCTAGACTGAGTTCAAATCCATCCTGGCTACAAAGGGAACAAAAGCAGCGTTGGTGAGGTGTCTCAGAGAATAAAGGGGCTCCCTGACCTGGTGACGTCTTGAGTTGGATCCTGGGATCCAAAGGGTGGAAGGAGAGTAGTGATTTCTGCATTCCCATCCGACTTCATGCACAAATAATTAAACACAATGCTTTAAAAAGAAACCACAGCCGTGGGGCACACCTGTAATCCCAGCAGAGGCAGAGGCAGGCAGATGTCTGTGAGTTCGAGGCCAGCCTGGTCTACAAAGTGAGTCCAGGACAGCCAGGGCTACACAGAGAAACCCTGTTTCAACAAACAAACAAAGAGATCGAGAGAGAAAACAGAAACCAAAAATTATTTTATTTTTCTGAGGCAGTTTTTGTGTGTGTATGTGTGTGTGTAGCTCTGGAACTCACTCTGTAGACCAGGCTGGCCTTCCTCATAGACTGGCCTGCCTCTGCCTTCCGTGTGCTTGCATTAAAGGCTGGCACCATGAATGCCCACCTAATACCGGAAATTTTAAATGAGCTGACGAGATGAGATGGCTCATAAGTTAAGAACACTGGCTGCTGCTTCCAGGTTGAATTCTCAGCACCCACATGGTGGCTCACAACCGCCTGAAACTCAAGTTCAAAAGGCTCCGATGGCCTGTTCTGGTCTTTGAAGACGTTAGAATAATTAAGGCAGATGTAAGGAGATGGAAGGTGGAAAGAGGGACTTGGTCTGGCCTTAGGCAGGACCACATTTATTCACTGTGAGGGGCACTTTTGTCACCCACATGTGCAGATGCCAAAATGCCTGCCTACAGAAGAAGATGGGATGCAGCCCCTTAGCAGGGTGGAAATGACTTGCACAGTCCGCTAGGGAGGCTGGGAAGTGTAGTCTTTCAGCAGCAGCTATCAGTGAACAGCAGCCACACAAGTGGCGTATAGATATGTAGGCAGGAAAAAAATAGACATTAAAAAAAAGTGATACTGTCTTTAAAAAATTAAAAAGGCATGTGGGCTTGGTGATGCACGCTTTTAACCTCAGCGCTCGGGAGGCAGAGGTAGGCCAGTGTCTATGAGGAAAGCCAGCCTGGTCTATAAAGCAATTCTAGGACAGCCAGGGCAAACCCTGTCTCAAAAAAAATAAAAAATAATAGGAAATTTAAAAAAGACAGCCGGCTGTTGGTGGCGAGTTCTATGAGAGCCAGGACAGCCAGGGCTACACAGAGAAACCCTGTCTCCAAAGCAAAAAAAAAAAAAGGTGTAGCCCTGAACAACTTTCATCCCAGGCAAATTTCTGTGAGTTCAAGGCCAATCTGAGTGCTCGACAACCAGTCAAGGCCACAGAATGTTTCTGTCTCAAAAACAGAAGGCTGGGTGTGGTGGTGCATGCCCTTAATCTCAGCACTCTGGAGGCAGAAGCAGGTGGATCTCTAAATTCCAGGACAGGTAAAGCTACAAAAAAAAAAAAAAAAAAAAAAAAAAGAAAGAAAGAAAAGAAAATAAATAGCAACTAATTTGCTCAACACCAAGTATAATTCATGACAAATGATGTTCCCATCCCCCTGTATTTAAAGCTTTCAATATATCTCCCATTTTTTAAAATCCTTGAAGCACTTTATTTTGTGGCCCTGGGGCTGAATCTCTAGGCCTTTCATATGTTAGGTTAATGCTCTTCTTCGGAGCTCCCAGGAGCCCATCTAAAAATACACAGATGTTCCCAGCACGGGAGTACACAGCACTTCCCAGCACCTCTGAGGCAGAGGCAGGAGGAAAACTGCAAGTTCAAGGTCAGTGTTGTCCACATAGGAAGTACCAAGCCAGGCTACGTAGTGAGGCTCTATCACAAAAACTGACTCAAGCCAGGCTATCCCAGCACAGGTTCCAGGCCAGCCTGGTCTACAAAGCTAATTTCAGGCCAGCCAGGGCTATGCAGAGAATCCCTGTTTCCAGAAACCCAAAATCTGAGAGCCTTGAGATGGCTCAGTGGCCAGAGGCTGCCTGGCCGGACAACCTGAGGAGCTGCTGCCAGTGTTAGCCTCTGGTTACCTAGCAACCTACGATGTCATCATGTGTGCCCCCACCAGGTGTGTGGCAGATGTGGTTCAGCTGTGCGTGCACAGGCTATAAAAGGGCCAACCCGCCACTCTGCCTCTCTCTTACTCTGCTCTCTTGCTCTGTCCACCTCACTTTCTTTCCTAAGGGCCCCTTACCGTGTCTCTCTCTCTGTTTCCTCTTTATCTCTCCACTGCCATCCAATGAACCTCTTTTATCATAATCTCTGTTGTGTGTGTGGCATCGTTTTAAAATAAAGACTAACGACCAGATTCACCTGTTCACGGGCATTAACTGGGATGAGGCAGGTAAGCACAGCGGATGGTTTCGATTGGGACCCTTTTTGTTTTGGTTTTGGTTTGGGTTATTCACACGCCACCCTCTTGTAACAGTGCACTCTAGTTTCTTCGCATGTGCAGACTATGCCCACACACCCCTCTTCAGACAGTGCAGCCAGCAGCCTCAGGACCCTCCTAACCGCTACAACCTTACCGGGCTAGTCATACTTCTCCCTCTGAACCACAGTGTGGGTTCCTCTGCCCGTAGAGCACGTTTGGATAATTGCCAGCCATTGCATTCCCCAGGTATAGGGCAGAAAGACTAGGATGGCTGATGTAGCTGGAACTGGCTTTGGGTGTGAGCACAGTGAGACGAAACCATCCCTGGAGTGAACTCTGGGGAGCTCTATTCACCACCTTACGCCATGTGCAGAGCTGGGTGTGCCTACGGTTAAAATCCGACCAGAATGACGAGGCGGACATTGGAAGCAGATATGACTTCACCTGTCCATGGGAAGGGAGCACTCACCGGCTGCTTTACATTTCTAGCACCCACATGGCAGCTCACGACCATCTGTAACTCCAGTGCCAGGGCTCCGATGCCCTCTTCTGTCCCCATCAGACACACAAAGGTACACAGGCACACTCTTAGGTAGAACACCCATACACAAAATAAAGCAACCTCAACAGAAAAAGCCAGTCAAGGGTGGCTTTTATGAGGGGTGAGGGCAGCAAGGGGGGCATGGACAGACAAAAGGGAGGTGTTGGGGGACAGGACACCAGACACTGCACACCTTTTTTGTTTTTTGAGACATGGTTTCTCTGTGTAGCCTTGGCTGTTCTGAACTCACTTGGTAGACCTTGTAGCCATCCGCCTGCCTCTGCTTCCCTGAGTGCTGGGATTATAGGTGTACACCACCTTGCCTGGCAGACACAGGACCCTTAAACTATATCCTTTTGTAAGCAGCTTTTCTCTTTTCTTTCTTGGGTTAATGTATCTGTAGCAGGTAGAAGCCTTATCACTCCCTGATAAGCATGCAGATAGGGAGAAGGGCAATGGCTAAGTGATAAAGGTGACCTAGGGCGGCACAGACTTCGTCCTTACCCTCCTAACCTGAGACAAAAGCCTGCTGGCTTAAAACAAAGGCCTTATGGGCTTTTTCTCCTCACAGGCCTGTCCCGGCTGATGAACCAGCTCAACAAGTTCAAGGCCAGGTCAGGACATGGTTAAGCAACAGTTGTGGGTCAGTCAGCCATCCTGTAACCAATCCTAAATTAGGGAAAGAAGACAATTCAAAGACTTACAAAAACAAAAATTAGCCCTCCAGGAGAAGCTGTGACTCTGCTTCTGATTTTGCCCTGAGCCCCCCCCCCCCCTTCCATCCTTTGGTCCATGCCCATGTGCAGAGGCTTCTTTCTCTGTCTGCTCACAGCCTTCACTTCCCCACCCCTAATAAAAACCGCTCTTGTGTGGCTGATT